GGCGCAATCGTCTTTTTTGCACGTATGCGCCCCAGACGCATGTTTGCATGCATGTATGCATGGGTGGGGACTTAAACATTTTTTTTTATTCTTCTTTTTTATGTGTAACTTTAAAAAAAATTGGGGGGGGGACTTAAATTTTTTTTTCCTTCGGAGGGAGCTCGTGTACCGAGCTCCCTCTGATCCCCTGTGACACAGGCGAGCTGATGATCCCGGGCTCGCACCGGGCACAGTGGAGCCCGGGATCAGCGGGACAACGGCGGGGCGGCAGACCGATCGGCACCCCATACACGCGAACCGCCGGCTCTACAGCGGATCGCTTGTATGGTAACAGGCATCGCTGCCTGTTTTTAAATGTCAGCCGTTGCCCAGCAGCGCGCGCGAGGGGGCGTGTCTGAGCGGACATCTAAAGACGCCCGCTCAGATCTAGAGAGCTCCGGGCCGGCCGTTTTTTTACTACGGCCGGCCCGGAGGTGGTTAAGGAAAAAAAGGACAGTCTTTTATTTCTTTGGTAACAGAAACGTAGCTTTCTTCAGCCGTACAACAAGTATGTTTGTATTTCAGATAACATATCATCTCACCATTCACAGGTTATCCTGTTCAGTGTCCCAGTCCCAGGACCTTACTGTTTTCCTCAACAGAATCTCTTCGGGAATACTCTGTGCCCTGTGAGCAGCTTTCAGCAGCATTTGATTTCACACCCACACACCTTGGGTGCCTGGCTCTCTCTGGCTCTCACAGCCTCTCCAAGCCTTCCAGCCCCCCAGGCAGTTTCTGGTGTGCCTCCAGCGCACACACAACCACCTGGCTCCACTCTGGCTTCTGGACACAACCTATCCCTCTTCAACAGCAGGAGCCCTCATTTACCTGCAGCCCACATCACACCAACTCCTGCACCACTGACTGCCTCTTTCTCTCTGTCCAATCTCTTAATAGGGCTGTTATCAGCCACCTGGGCAGTCTGGCCTGGCAATTGGCTGCACCTGGCCCCAGGAATGGAGATTTCATCCCGCCCAAGACTCTTAAATCCGGAAAGAACCAGCTCCTTCCCTGTAACACTATACGTTTTCTGGACCCTCTCAGCCCTCTGTATATATGTTGTTTTAGTGGAGCAAAACTGATATTTAAAACTTGAAACATATATATTTTGTTCCCATACAAGCCCCATTACCATGACTTTATGGCTCATTTCACTAAGCTATAAGGTGATTGCTATTTAAAGAGATGTAAATGCTACAGGTTTCTTAGGCTATTACTGATGAAAAGCACTATCATTATTGAAAATAACCTATGTGTTGTATCCTTAATACAGAGTTGAGTTTTTGTGAGTTATATGTGCAGCATGTGGCAGCTAACTATGTCACCTTACATTTTCTGCACTCTCCTTCCCTGTCCAATTAAAGTCTATACAATGTATTACTGACTCCTAAGAAAACCAGAATCTAATCAATCCACTCTTTTTTAAAACTGCCACTGGAGACCTATGTAGCAAGTGTTTCAACATTTCCACACTATAGGTCAAACCTTAATTTATCCTCCTGTTTGTTAGCAACTGCTAGAGTGAGTAAGATTATAGAGAATATTGTCATTCTAGTGATGGTGAAAAGTATTAAACTGTAGATTAAAATAATCCTGTTTAATGGGGTGTCAAACCATGCTACACAGCACCCAGAGAAAGTGTGTTGTATCTATTCAGCACCCAGAAAAACCCTATGTTTTATACTACATTTTCCTTCCTGTTCATTAACTATTATTATTATTATTATTATTATTATTGTTATCATCAATATGTCTAAAAACCTATATCACAAAAGTAGAGAAAACCAAATCTTGATAGGATTTCTGTGAGCATACACTACTCTGCGAAAGTTTTAGGCAGGTGCGAAAAAATGCTGTAAAGTAAGAATGCTTTCAGAAATAAAAGTGTTAAGTTTATTTTTATCAATTAACAAAATGAAAAGTAAATGAAGAGAAGGAAATCAAATCAATATATGGTGTGACCACCCTTTGCCTTCAAAACAGCACCAATTCTTCTAGGTACACTTGCACACAATTTTTGAAGGAACTCAGCAGGTAGGTTGTCCCAAACATCTTAGAGAACTAACTACAGATCTTCTGTGTATGTAGGCTGTCTCTAATCCTTCTGTCTCTTCATGTAATCCCAGACAAACTCGATGATGTTGAGATCAGGGCACTGGCAAACCATTACTTCCAGGACTACTTGTTCTTCTTCATGCTTAAAATAGTTCTTAATGACTTTGGCTGTATGTTTGGGGTCATTGTCCTGCTGCAGGATAAATTTGGGGCAAATAACAGGCCTCCCTGAAGGTATGGCATGATGAATATGTATCTGTTTGTATTGCTCAACATTGAAGACACCATTGTTTCTGACCAAATCTCCAACTCCATTGGCAGAAATGCAGCCCCAGACTTGCAAGGAACCTCCACCATGGTTCACTGTTGCTGCAGACTCTCATTATTGTACCTCTCTCCAGCCCCAGATTTTGACTCATTAGTCCAAAGCACCTGCTGCCATTTTTCGGAACCCCAGTTCCTCTGTTTTTGTGCATAGTTGAGTCATTCAGCCTTCTTTCCAGAGGTATGGCTTTTTTGGCGCAAGGCCGCAGAGAAATGGCAGCAGGTGCACTGGACTGATGAGTCAAAATCTGAAATATTTGGTTGTAGCAGGAAGCAGTTTGTTCTCTGCCCCTAATTAACCAACTCAGTCTACCTTCAACGGCATTACAATTATGAATTTAACAATACGGAGAATGAAGTGAATGAGCAGGAAGTATTTGACCCCATTCTTCACTTTCATATTCCAAAAGAGCTAAAGAGCTAGTAGCACATTAAAATAAGATATAAAACTGTATTTTTTATTATCATTGTATAGTGAACATTATGGAATTATAGTGGAAAATCCAAGCAGTACCTAACTGTGTGTAGAAATGTTTTTCTCTCTATTTTTGGAATTCTTTTGTAAGAAGTTTAAAACTTTTCCCATCCTTAAGAAACAGCTCTATTTAACCAAACTAATTGGTTGAGACTTCCTATTCATCTAAAACATGCATTGAGCTTGGAGGCTCTGAAGCCTAACTGCGTCATGTGTAAGGCAAAGGCCAGATATTTCTCAACATTGCACAAAGGAAGTTCAACATTATCTGTAGAATCAAATCTTTTCTCTGAAATATCTTTCAGAGCTGTATTGTACTCTACAGCAAGAATTGTCCAGCTTCTATCACTGGAACCTTATTACAAAACTGAATTTCCAACTTTCTTTCTTGCAAATTGAAATAAACAGTGAAAATAATAGCGATTATATGCATGCCTGTTACAAACAGAACTACCTGACTTAGTTAAAATCAAGCCGGTTACTCCTTTAAGATTTAACAGTCCATTTAAGAACTGGTTGGGGGGAAAAAACTTGCCTGGTGCATTTTTAACAGTCTTGATAAAAGCAATCAGAAATTATGGTTGATTTATTAAATTAGTATAGGCTGTTTAAATAACAAAGTCAATGTTCATTTTGCAAGGAATATATTCACTCGGCTTATTAACCGAGGAGAAGCTGTGTTCACTTTAAAAACTCTATAATGTGCAAGGGAAATATAAAAAAATCACATGATTATTTGCTTACACAATTGAAGTAAACACATTTTTTTTTACAGTTTCTAACTACTGTTGCTTTCCTAGGTTTGCTTTCCATTTTCTTTGATATGACTTCCACAGTTTCAAGTTTTGTTTGCTACGACTGGTCTTTTCTATGTGACAGTTGTTCTGATGGACAATTTCCAAAGACTTTTCTATTACTTTGCCATTAACTCGGCTCCAGCTAAAGCCGTTTCATAACATGGTCAACCCTTTGAACATGTATCTTATCCTACTAAATGGAGAATATATTGTCTGAGAAGTTTAATATCAATTATCTGTGAATAAATCTGTAGAGATGAAAATAAACATTCATACAAGTCTAAATTTCATGTGGATTATGAATTCAAGAAGACTAGCTAACAGGTGCTTCACCTACATCAGTTCAGCTCAGCGAATTTGTAAAGTGGTCCTCCGTCAGTGGAGCCTATCTCCTGATATTCACTCACCTCTCCTTATACAGTATGTGCAATGTTCAGCAGATGATTGTTGTGGGAGTTTGGAAATCGAATTGAAAGTAAAAGGGAAACTGTGGCAATATCAAAGTGACAACCCAAGGATTAAAAGGTCAGACAGGTAGACTAGAACAGCACTCAAAACTGCAAGTTACAATTTGAGACAGTGATTGGGGACAGTTTTTGTACCCAGTTACTAAGGAAAGAGAATGGTTAATGGACCAGCAAACTTATTTTGCATCTAAAAGCTGACTTTTGAATGAACTACCAGAGTTTGACTCCAGTATTCAGGTTCCCCAGAACATAATGCTCAACGAACCACCGTTCTCATAAAACACATCTCATAAACCAAGGATGTGCAGGATGGAGCAGGAACTAGCAAGACACTACAACAGGGAAAGGAAAACACTGGGACAACGGTTGACAGACAAGATCTGACAAGAAGCAAGAGAAGCAGGACTAAAAATGATAACACTAAAAAATCCTTGAGGGAGCACAGCAAAAGAGGTCAAAAAGACAACCTCTTACTCAGAAAACCAATAGAAATCTACACATGCTGGAGTGCTGCCAATCACAAAGGGCACATGCCACATATAAAACTCCTCAGTAACGCCATCCACTTAAGGACCCCCTAACACAAATAAACCAGGAGATGGACAAAGACAAAGCAAGGCTAAGACAGATATTTAGAAAAAAAAGGATTCAGGTATCACACATACAGAGCACAGATACTGATAAGGTACCTCATAAGAATATCTGAGACAGAGATTGATGGACACAAAACTTAAAATAGTCACAGGCAAAGTGCAAACACCACACAATGGGGTCAAGTCAAAGAGCATACAACAGACAACAGAGTGAAACCCAGGTAAGAAGTGTATGGGAAACTTAGAACAAAGGTGAAGAATGCACACAACTAACCCATGGTTAAGCACGGCCACCAGCCATTGTCACCCAAACACCTTCTAGAAGTCATTTAGTAATGTCACTTTCTGCTACTTAGGTAACATGGGTCACATAGAAGCTTTGCCATGATACACTTCTTGCAGCATCCCTCTACATTTGACTCGCTACTATTTCTGAACTAGCACCAGTCTTGGATTATACTTCACTGCTCTTTTTTGTCTGGACTCCCAAAAGCATCTCCCACCTCATGCTGACATCACGGGTGTAGGTGGTAAGTGGGGAGAGAGACCAGTGAACCTGGTGACAGCATCACTTCTGGCTCCTTAAAACTAAAAAGACATAGAAGGGCGCAATAACCTGAGTGTATGTTTATGCTTGCAAAAAGAAAAAATGTCACTTACATTAGTGTCCGGGGACTGGAGGAAAGGCGGCCTCTGATGAGGATCGAGGGGTCCAAGGAGAGAGCCTCCACTGGGTGGGTGCCCAACAGGGGAAAGCCCGTTCAAGCGAGTGAGTAGCTAGAACCGGAGGCAGAAGGGAGGCCGGAGGTCCGTCTGTGTCCCTGCTGTGTCTGCGGGGGGTTGATTGAATGGTACTCGGCGGCGTGCAGTCTGCTTCAGCGAACATCCAGTTTATCTGGGAGTTGTGGGGGAGGATATTTAGATAAAGCTGAGATGGTAGGGCATAGAGCACCCGTTGGGAAAATGAGGTCTAGTTTTTTTATTCTAGTCATGGAAATCATGACGGAGGTGCTAGAAAGGACCGAGTGCTGCTGTAAGGGTACTCCACTCAGTGAAAGTAATAAGACTGGTAATAGAACGACAAAAACAATTGTACTTCTGGCTCCTTAGCTGTCATTCCCTGCCTAGAAAAGCCAGGGAAGAAGCTATTCAAATGTGATCTGCACTTGAATGGCTTCTTTGAAGTGGAAAGGTGACACTAGGGGGTTGATTTACTAACCTTATAAACACACCACGAACATGTATACACCTCTGTAGGGTGTTCCCTCCCAGCATGAACTATGGATGGAATCTAAACACCTTTGTAGTGTGTACACACCCAGCAGGTGTGTTGTGCAAAGCCCTGCATGAATTGCAAGGTGATGTTGTAAAAATTAGCTCTATGTTGTGTTGCTTACGTTGATGAATGCAGGAATGTAAATGCATGAGCTAACCATTTTTGTCTAAACTGTGAAGCAGCATTATATATGCATCATGTGCATGATTTTTCCATATATGGCATTAGTGGAAATATGCTTTTAGAGACTTTTTGGTTGATAAATATGTTTTGCTTTGTAAAAATCCCTAATGTCATGTTAAAGAGAAGCTATCACCACTAATATGATATTACATAGTAAGCAATGAAGTTAAGCACAAAAAAAGTTGAAAAAAAATAAAGATAAATAAAATAAAAGTAGAAGTACCAAATACATTTTTAGGGTTCGCTGACCCCACAAAGGTGCTCATACTAACTTAAACACTCATCAGGTGCACCTTCATATGAAAATGACAATTTTGCTACACAGTTTGGGTATTGTCACATGCACCCAAGTGAAAGTAATAATTCTAGGACTAATATTAATATTTAACTCTAAACTGATGACCTGTACAGACTTTTAAAGCCTCGCCTATGGACAATTTGTGATACTGTATTTTTTAGCCGTTTCATGGGAGCATGCAATTTTTAAGCTTGGAATGTTTGGTATTGATTTACTTGTTGATTTACTCAGGAGTTAAATCTTCAAAATACATTCAAGTACCTTAACTATTAACTATTTACCTTAGCAAATAAGGTAAAGCTCTGCTGACTTCCATCATCCAATCATGCGCAAGCAAAAATATAGTTTTTATATTTTTCTTGCACGTAAGTGGGTATTCTTTGCAAAGTAAATTTTCACAAATTAAATATTCATTTTGGATTCCTAAAGTGACACAAAACTCAGGAGTTAAATCTTCAAAATGCATTCAAGTACCTTAACTATTAACAAAAATTTAGCTTATTTGTGTATTACTCGGCTGTAGATACTCAAATCATCTCTGAAATTTGTGCTGGAATGTTTAACGCCTGGGTACACCACAGCTCTCACTGGTTCCTCCCTCTGACTTCACGTCACTATTTTCTGGGTCACCTTAATGTACTAACTCAGCAATATACAGCATGCACCTTATCAGTTTATAGTGGCATATGGATCGATTTAATATGTATACATATTGTATGTTTCTTATTTGATAACATATGCTATTATACAAATATGATGAGTCTAATATGTTCTCCTGTAGTTGTTTTTGCACATTGGCAACAAAAAAGACTA